AAGATACCTGAAACCTCAACGATATCACCCGGCACGAGTTCATTAGCACGAATCATCTGAATGCCATGTTTTCCCTCGCGTATTACTTTTGCCATTTCTGGTTCATATTCTTTAAGAGCTTCTATAGCACTTTCGGCATTCCTTTCCTAAAAAACGAGACTTAAATTTTAACATGAAGCAAAATTTCACAACTCATGTTAAAATGCCTAAGCAATTCTATTGGTGGTTATAGAAGTGAAGTGAAGAAAAATGTCTCGTCACTTCCCTTCCATGATGATATCCCACTTTCTCAGCTCACCGTATAAAAAATATCCAATTTGTCAGTTTCGGCAAAAAAGAAATGAAATTTCTCTCGTGATATGAAATGTTCACCACAGCATGTTTAAGTATGGGAATATCCCAGGAGTTATGAGTGTTCGGATATTCGGTATATCATTTGGCTGTGATTCTACTCATGTAAACAGTATTTAATAAATGACTGAGTAAGTGATGAAAACACGGAAAGTTATTAAAAACAAATTAATAAACCAACTTGCCAAACACCGACTGTCGCATTTGCTATCAAGATAAGCAAAATTACAAAAGGTTCAACGAAAGCGGTGACCGCTGATGATTGGTCGTCGTGCTCTTCGAATAAAGCTAGCACCTTAATTACAATATGATTATAGAGAAGGAAAATCAAAGATAAAAAATATCCCAAAATATTAAAGTTTTGGAATTGAAAAGATGAAACAATTTTAAAAGTTGGAATTTCCTGAAAAAAGTGCACTTACAAATGAGATGATGGCAGCAAGAAGCAAAATTTTGACGAGGAGATCGTCGAACTGTTCCAATATTAATTCCCATAATTTCTTTCCTTCTTCGGCTGGCAATTCTGAAGTTCCAAAAATTTGTGAAAAAAATTTGCCAATTGTGAAATTTGAAAAAGTCAACCAGGATTTAATGGATTTTCCAAAACAATATGATATAAATACAATGTAATGATAATAAAGATTACTGATTACATGGGACAGTTCTCAGAGTTTGTTCCTTTGTTATCATTGAAAAACCGAAACTCTTCCATTTTAACCGTAGAGTAAAGAATTAATTGAAGGAAACATCAGCATGTTATTAACTGCATGTAAAATACCTAAGGCACGACGGTAATACCTGTCATTAACTTACAGTATCAAGCGATTTGTACATAGAACACACAAAACACACAAGGAAACTCGCAACTAGCATTGTTGAATATATTGCGGTTTATAGGTTTATATGTAAACCGTTGAAAGATTTACAAAAAAAAAAAAAAACGTTATACCGTTTGAACCATATTTTTCTCTGTTTTGAAGGACTTGTTTCTCGGTAAGGCCAACATCACCGTTGACACCGAAATACTGCAATACATCAACGGTTGATTTCGTGTGGGCGTCCTCCATATCGGTCCTTCTTTTCAATACTTTTTCGCCCTGAAATGATGAAATTCAAATAATATGTAGTATTATCAGCAATTTTATGGATGAAGATAACGCATAAAAAAACCAACGCGGAAGTTTTATGTACGCACTAGTGTCACGTTTGTCGGAACGTTTATCAGCGAATAGCCCTTACGTATAAAAGTTAATATGGAAGATACTTTACACAGCAAGCAATATTAGTACTTGACAGATTTCCCGCTGATTAACAACTCGCATTTATTAATCACTCATTTCAGTCTTAGATGTTGTGTCATTTCTATGTTTCTTACAATAACTACTTTTAATCGGAATAATCTGAATTAACAAATTAAATTAGCGAAAAGAAATCGGAAAAAAAGAAAATATTTAAATAAAATATAACAAAACAACAGATGAACGAGAAATCGTATTAGAGCGTAATATCAAATTGAAGCAGAATTTTTCTGCTCATTTCATACACAAATCATCTAATACGCATTTCGAATGTCTAATAGTATGTCGTATATCTAATACGTATGTCATCAATTAAAACTAAGATGAAAATATCACGTGAAATTAATTACTAAATTCTACAACATTTCTCGAAGTCCCTCTTTCTCTTCTTCATACTATGTTGATAACGAAAAAAATGAATGCTAAATGGTGAAAAGAAAGCGGAAAGGTTACAATTACGATGGGAAATGGTATGAATTCAAAGATTGTCGTATTTGAAAACTGCTATACTGAGAAATAAGAAGGAGTAATAATGTATGGTATGGCCAAGCACAATGACATATTTACTCAATAAAGAAATAATCAAATTAATTATGCAATATGAATTTTTCAAAGAGAATTCCACTCAAAGTATACTTTTCGAAAGAATGAAACTTTAAAGAATTTCAAAGAACATTCTAACACATCCTCTGTTCTCGTTGAAGCCATTTTCAGCCCGTTCAGCCTTAATCGGAAGAAATAAGTATTTGGCTACAGTTGACAATGAGAAAGTAAAGCAGTGAAGGTACGAGAAATATCTATCACTTTCCACACTTCCTAAATTGAACTTATTTCAGCTTATTTCTTAATTCAATAATATGGTTCACTGATAATAATATGGTACAAGTCTTGGAGGGAAAGCAATAATTCATTGAAAATAAAAATGAAAACAGTGGAATAATTATGATGCTTGAATTTAATACGGGAGCTTTTACATTTCACTTCATATTATTTTGCATTATGGTTGCCCTAAAACTCGATGTTCAAATTTTACTTTAAAAATTTAAGTTAAGTTGAGGAAAAATGAATTTCTCATCATGTTTTATTTGATAATGAAAACATGCTCCAAATGTTCTCGAATTGTATGAACACAAATATTCCAACCAATTATCGATTTAACAATAGTTTTACAGTGATCTTTTAATATCTTATGCCATTCCTGAAATTTTTCGATGACCGCCTAACAGCAATTTCACCCAACACCATACAATTTCTTTGTGAACAGTTGAAATTCGAACATTTACATTTCTGAAAAAACAGAATTCAAAAAAAAAGACAAAAACAAAACAAAGGAAGTAAAAGCAAAATGAAACTCACGCGAAGTTGAAAAGAAATGTAACATTGATAAATTAAAACTGGTATCAAATACTGTGAGAGCTGTGTAATGTATATCATGTCACGTGAGTTTCCCGATACCTTTGTAGTGATTACAATCACTGACGTCATGTTGAAACTACATTAACACATGTAACATCACCATTCGAACACGTCGTGTACATGTTCATTTTTAACAGTTTTTCTCGCTGCCTTTTTTTCCGCAAATTAATTTAAATTACAATTCAATTTTCGCCTTCTTTTTGAATAGATATTTAAATGTTTAAATTTAAATGTTTAAGTTTCCATCCCATCAAGGCAGTACCATAATCTTCCCGAAACATAAAAATGTAGCCATAGATAGAAGTTATTCAGCCATATGCAGCCATAGATAGAAGTTATTTGATAGTAGTACTTTTCAACCATAGAACTGATAAAGTTTGAAATCAATCTTTGCAAATTACTATTAGAGTTAAACTAAGTAAATCGTCGACTAATTCCCTCAGTCCTTTAAAAACCTTAAAAAATGCAAAAGTTATCCGCCAAAACCTGATAACCTTTTCTTCTTTAAATGAAATATTTCAGATTTTGAGATTATTATCATGGACTAAAAAGAAAAACGAACAAAATATTTCTTAGCCGAGAATAGAACCCACAAAAAATTGTCATGCCGAACAATACGTAATAGAGAAATGCAGAAAAACATAGATTCAATTTCAGATAAAATGAATTTTATTAAATTTAATGTTGGTTTAATGGAATGTAACATTAACCTCATTAAACAGAAGTCATTCTATCATCCAAATTAAACTTCACTAAAAATTAATCTCATTAATCAGAAATCATTTTGTCATGCAAGCATTTAATGCTATCCAAACTTTTGTAAATAACAGAGTTCAGTGAATGATGGTTCAATTTTCGTATCGATTGATGTGATTTCCAAAAACAGAACAATTCTAGATAGCTAAAAACGTAACGCCCATCTGAAATAACACTGTAAGGGAATAAACATAACATTAATTTGTCAACTAATCTTGCAGCAAAAAAAAAAAATTGAGCATTGCAGTTCCCATCTTTAATATGAATATGCAAATTACGCATATTTTCTATAAATAAATTCTGAAAAAATGAACATGAAGGATTAATTTTATAAAAAGTAAAAAAGGGACAATCCCAAACTTCAAACATCGAGAAATGCTCATAGGAATATGGTAGCTCCTATTTCTAATATGAATATGTAAAATATACACATTTTGCAGAAATTCTGGAAGAATGGACGTGAAAGATTAATTGTAAAAGATTAAAAGTTAACTCTAAACTTTTAAATATCGAAAAATGCTCATATGAATACCATCTTTAAATTCGGATGAAATTCACGCAGCGAACAATCGATTGTGGTGTCACTCCTCGTAGTGTCACCTCAACCAAGGGAAAAAAACGCATGCTACTATTAAAAAGGATGAAATATAACGACGGGCTGCGCGGCCCAGAACGTCACCGTTATTTTCAATTTAACCTATTTTTCAATAATTTTTGCTTGAGAGAAGGAGGAGGATGGCATCCTTACGCCAGATCTGTGTTTGGTGGGATGTGGTCCAGTTCAGTCCGGTTCGATCCGGTGCTCATATTCTAGTGATGGGAATTCAATGGAAGCTTCTGTTGTCTGTTTTTCATCAAAACTTTCTACATTGTCTGGTAACTTTAACAGGTTCTTGAAAATTGCGCAAAATTATTGAATTTATAAATGAAATGAAATGGATCATTCCAGCTGAATTGTCCATTTGAAGGAAATCTGTCCACTTTAAATATGCCTTGAATATTTTATCACTTGCTCTTAACTACGTTTACAGCATACCAGCTGATTCAAGAAAAGAGACACACATGAATTATGAATGTAATACATTCGTTTATGGCAAAAAAAAGGAAGCATATCCGGGAGTATCGGGAAATAATTCAATTTAAATAACAGGAATACTTATCTTTTGATTTGTTAGAATGAAATGCTATTGATTAAGGAATAAATTATGAACAATTATGAAATATAACAAATTTTATTTGTCACTTTTTATTTCCCTACCTATTTTTGTTTCTTTCCTTTCTTAAAAATATATATAAAACATGTGCGTATTGTTTTAGACTAAATGAATGATCAATTTCTTTGGGATTAGTAATCAAATGAACAATTATTTATGTGCCTAATATGTGCACTATGATTAGGTTTCACAACCGATGTTTTTGGGAAGGACTTTATCCAGCCTTGATGCAAACGCTACAAATATTGATGTATCCTTCACGCCTGCAAAGTGGATTTTTTTAGGTGAGGCAGAGTGTGTACGGAACTAGCCCCATCCTTTTGTCGTAAGATTCATCAGCTATGGCTTAGCGAGCTAGGACAGTGACAGTGAAATCCTCAGGACGTAGGTTTAGTTAGAGTATGAGATGAAAGATCTTGCGAAATTAAACAAGCTCCATCTGTCCGTTTTCAGTTGAGACTTGTCCGACATGGGAGACCGGAGGCATATGTTACTGCCAAATAGCTCGCAATCTTATTTGCGCACTCAAGCTTCTCCCTTGCGACTAGGGAATTTTCGTGGAAGACATGTATATATCTCCATGTATTGCTTATTTTCTTATTCTCATTTACCAATGAAATTTCCATTTATCAATTTTTCGTATTATTTTTTTAAATTAAATGAGCTGATAATGCACGCATGAATTGATGTTAGAAAATTGTTTCTTTTTTAATCTAATTTTTTTTTAATTTTAATAAGGGGAATTCATTTTGTAAATATGATAAAAATTACTACGTAATCATTGTGCTAATTCAATCTACTAATAACTATCAACAGATAAATACAATGTGATAAATGTCTCTCCGATATTATAGTACTTATCAAACAAATCACACAGGTACTCACGAATTTGCCGTTCGACAGACAAATGCGGAAGCATATTCGATTTCCCAATAGAGTTGCACTTTTTTACAATATAAAAAAATACCTGATATGAATAAGTTCGTTTTTCCTTCCTTCATAATTAACACTAGTAGGTCCTTTTATTATTTGGTTTTGCAGTACCATATGTTTCGGTACTGTTTAGCAACTTTTGGTATGAACATGGCTCCGTTCTGGTTATCCGACAAAGGCTTACGGATACTTATCGTTAACTATTTTCTTCAGAGCCTCTTTGGAACATGCGACAGTTTTCCTTTTTGACTTGCTTGAATCTTTTTTGCTTTTTCCCTGTCTTATTCTGCATACACAATAACTATGTCTTTTTTTTTTGCCTCCAATTTTTTGATTACTTCAAGAAAAATCATGTTGTTTCTTGGTCTAACGATTGCAGCAAGTAATTAGATCTTATCCAATAATAAATTATTAAGTGAATTATTTAGTATGTTGGATTTATAATTTGGATTTGATAATTTGAAAAAGTTCATCAAGCAAGGTAAGATTTTAATAATGCAGCTATCAAAAGAGAATAAAAGTGCGGACAAATGTCAATTATTTTACTAACGGTAATAAAATGAACACAAGTATATTAATTCCAATTTAATTAGTTGTTTTACTTACACAGCGATTCGTATTGGTTATGTTTTAAATGGAAAAGCTTTTAATAAATTATAATTGTAATAGTAAACGATTACAGCAAAATTACTTACGTTAATAAGTTGTGTCTTTTTTCTTAAATTAAATTGCAAAGTTACATCGAATAATAAAAATCGAATAAAAGCTTAATTGAAATTGTGGGATTTTAGCAAAGTATTTATGCTAACCTTTTGCTAAGTTTTGAATTCATGACCTTTCAACCGAAATAATATAACAAGTAAAAATCAAATAAAAGCTTAATTGAAATTGCGGGATTTTAGCAAAGTATTTATGCTAACCTTTTGCTAAGTTTTGAATTCATGACCTTTCAACCGAAATAATATAACAAATAAAAATCCAATTAGCGAGCTTGAAACGCAAAATCTGAATGAGATCTGTTTTTTCCATACCTTAAATAAGCAGCTGCTTACGTTTACCTCATATTATAATAATGAAACACTGGTTTACTTCTGGTTCATATACAATCTGAAATTAAATTACTATTTGCAACAGCTTATGATCCAGTTCTAACTGTAATAATACCTATTCTCTCAAGTTAAATTTGAAAATGAAAATTGAAAAATCCAGGAATTTACCAGTTAAACAGTTACAAAGAAATCTCAAGACAGAGTACTGCAAACGACAAGGCGCAATTGTTTGCATTATTTATTCGTCAACTTTTCCCTGTCATCCTAAACATACAAAAACCCGCTCTTCTTTTTTGTCAACCTAAGCAAACAAAAATTCAATTCATTCGAACATGTTGAAAAAAAAAAAAAGA